TCTACTTGCTCCACTCTGTTAGTGATACTCTCATTTGAGTTTTTAATTTGGTTTATAGTTTCCTTCATTTCTAGAATTATTGTTTGATTTTTTTATAATCTCTATCTCCTGATAAAGATGCTTAACTTCTTCTTTTATCTGTTTATGTAATTCATTTTCAATGTGTTCTTTCACTGTTTGAATTTGCTGTCTCATATCCTCTTTAAGGTTCCATTCCATCTGTCTAAGGTATTCCTTGAGTTCTTTATTTGACCATTTTTTCTGATGACTCTAGGTCCTCCTGAATATTTAGGCTGTCCTGCATTGTTTGTACTCCTTTTCTTCCTTGCTTTTTCATGCTGCTCATGTTACTTCTTGTTCTGTTTGACTGCTGAGTTACTGTTTACTCCTATAAATTTATTTGATGCTTGGGAGGAAAGGTATTAGAAGGGAAGGGAAAAAGTCACTAAAGAGAATGAGAGTAAGCAGGTAGAATTCAAGGAAGGGGGAATAAGAAAATTGAAAAGAAATGAAAAGACAAAAGAAAAAAAATATAAAATAAGAAAAGAAAAAAAATTAAAAAAAATAATAAAAAATTAAAGTTAAAATTAAAAAAATTTAAAAAAACAAAACAACTGAAAATGAAAAAAAAAAACCCAAATTAAACAAAAAATTAATAAATGCAGTCTTAGAGTTTGATTAACTTCTCTTCCAGTAGGTAGAGCTGTGCCCACCGGGCCAAGCTTCTCCTCTCAATACGGGGGAACCGATCACTGTGCAGTAGCTCCTCCTCCCAGACTGGGCGGGTTTCCAATCCTGGGTGCCTAGGGCCTTATCTTGTGTCTAGTCACTTCCCCACTGTTCCTCAAGCCAGGCCCCACTCACCAGTGACGCTCACTACAATACTGGCTACATACCAGGTCTGCTGCTCCCGGGAGCCCTGTTTTCATGAACGACTGGGCACACTCTCCCTGTTTGCCATTCCCTCACACCCTAAGTTTGTAGAGCTTGGGGCTGAGAATCCTCAGCGAATTTTGCTTGCCCTCCGGTAGCCACGCCCCCTGTAGCTGGTGCAAGAGACCTCAATTGTCAGCACTGGTGGGAGTGGTAGCCGGGAGTTCCGCACCGCGGGTCCCGCGCCACTCCTGATTCCCTCGGTCTGGCTATCGCGCTCATGGGAGAGCTGGGAGGGGCCCTTAAGGTTTCCCCGCTGTGTGGAGAGGGAAGGCTAGGGGGTTACACACCTGTCGCCACTGGTTTCAATGAAGTTATCTCCTCCGCCGCATTCTGGTGATGTCAGTTCTCTGCCATGGTGGTATCCCATGCAAATGGTGACAGTTCGTTCCCTTTGCCAGGTGACCAATGCAACGGGTGGGTCCTGACTGTCTCTCCCAAGCCCCGTTTCAATCCTGTAGCCACTGCCTATGAAGGCTCGGTTGGCATTAACCTCGGTAGAATCAGAAGGGCCGACCTTGTTTCAGTGGGATTGTTTAGTGCTGAGTCACAGCAGTTTGTTGAGAAGCAGGCGAACGGGAGCTTGAATTCAGCGGATCCGGGCTCGGTGTGTGTTCTGAGAGGCCCAGACTGTTCGCCCCAGATCCACGTCAGCTCAGCATTGCCTAGTGATCCTGAGCAAACAGCATTTAGACGGTTTACGACTCCCTTTGCCCGCGCAGCTGAAGAGGTCAGAGACTTGATCTCTCCGAGCCCGCCGCCATGTTGGATCTCTCACTAAGTTTCTGTTGAGTACTCACCACATTTTCTTTGTCCATTCATCCATTGATGGATACCTCAGCTAGCTACCATGAGACAAAGCAAATCTTTCCTTCTTATAAGTTGTGTATCTCAGGTAGTTTGTCATAATGACAGAAAGCTAACTAACATCTCTGTGACAGATTAATTCTAAGATTTTACATGCCAAACAGTGTTGCATATACATATATCTTCGTATGAATTGTGCAAGTATATTCAAAGATAATATTCATCTCCATGGAATTGCACAGTTCATTTGAGCTTTTTTACCACTGAAAGGTATGTATTTTCAGGATATGTAAGATTTACAGATCCTTGGAAGTTGCTAGTAAACATGATCATATATGTCTCCATAACCTCTATTATCAAGAGACAATTAAGGAAAAAAAAAGGACCTTGGAAGAAAAGTCTTTATCTTTACTATTTTTAGAGCCTCCTTTGCCATCTACAATTCATTAATAATTAGCATTAATAGCCATTTTCTGAAACTGAAGACAACATTTCTAGAGACTAAAAATGGTATCACCATATTTAATTCACAATATAATTTAAGAAACTAACATAGTTATATTTCCATTATTATCTTAATGTAGAACAATAAGGCTTATATTGACACTCAAAATTAAGTGGCTTGCTGTGTGTATAGTGGTGCATGACTGTAATCCCAGTGACTCAGGAGGTTGAGGCAGGAGGATTGCAAGTTCAAAGCCAGTCTCAGCAATTTAGTGAGGCTGTAAGCAATTTAGTGAGACCCTGTCTCAAAATAAAAAATAAAGATGGCTGGGGATGTTGCTCAGTGGTAAAGAACCTCTTGGTTCAATCCCCTGTATAAAATAAATAAATAGATAGATAAAAAAATAAAATAAACTATCTAGCTTAGTAATTGCTCTCAAGACAATAATGAGAAAAGATTTTGTCCACTACTTTGCTGCTGATTCTTTGGACAATATTCTCTGCTTATTTCCTTAAATGATTTGAGAAAGTCTACTCTGAAAAACGTGAAGACCAAACATCATCAACATACTATAGGACAAAAGTTAGGTTTTAAAAGGGAGAATGGGAGGAAATTAGATTATCAAGGAACTAGTTTGAGTGAAACTCAAAAACTTAGTTCTGATCTTCTTAACCAAGTTAGAGAAAGTGGCTGAGTTATAGTCTGCATTTTCTATCACAGAAGTTCTCAGTCCTATTAGACCCAGGGATTATTTTTTTATAAAAACCATCTTAAGGCTGGGTTTGTGACTCAGTGGTAGAGTGCTCATCTAGCACGTGTGAGGCACTGGGTTCGATCCTCAGCACAACATGAAAAAATAAATAAAGGCATTGTGTCCATCTACAACTAAAAAATATTTAAAAAAATTTAATGCCTTTTTATTATCCTGAAATGAGGTTTATGAGCCATAGAGTTTATTCATATTATTTAAAGATGAACATAAAACCATAACTCTAGCACAATAGAAAAATTAAAGGATATATATTAATATCCATATATATAATGATTATATGTATATATCATGTGTTTGTCCAAGTATGAATATACTGGGAGGTATAATTATGTCACCCAACTTATATCTACAGAAGAATCCTATGAGTACAACAGCTACAAATGCAGCCTGGTTTGGGTGTGTGAGCTATTGATCCACCACCAGCCTCATTGAAGGTGATGATACAATTTTCCTAAATAGTGGAGAACTTTGATTTTGAATTCCTAGAAAATTAAGTAATATTGAGATTGATTGTATTTACATGAAAACCTGATTGTTTCCTAGGCTCTAAAGCAACCTTTTTTTGTTTGTTTTTTCTTACATGGAAGTGTGATGAAAAATTTTTAAATGGTGGAGAATGTGGAACAATTTTTATTTTGTGGGGCTTTCCTGCCTACTCCTGGTCTCTGTCCACACTGTGTTCCAGCAGTTCTTCTTCCTGCCTTCATAACAATTAATTTGGAAATCTGCTTGGCATTATCTATTAAAATTGGTCACATTCATTTTCTTTGACCCACCAATCTACTAGTTGTATACACATCCAAGATGAGTACATATATTCATCAAAAGTTTTATTGCAGCTGCAATATTCTTAATAGGCCCAGATGGAAACAACTACAGTGCCTCTCACAGTGGAATAAGTAAATCGTGTCTATTCAAACAAAGAAATAATATGAAAAGTGAAAATGAACAAATTGCTCCTACAACAAAACAAAACAACAACAACAACAACAAAAACAACCCAAACTATGGATGAGTCTCACAACACAAGCGACAGAACCAGACACGAAAGAGTCCCTGCTATGTGATTTCCAAATTTCAAATGCTGGCAAAGCCAATCTATAGTATTTGTTGGGATAATGATTGGATGGGAAAATGGAGCTGCATTTCTGTGGTACTGATAGTACTCTATCTCTTCACTTGGATGGGATTTACTTGGGTAGGTTCACTCTGTGATACCAGCAGAGCCAAGAGCATAAACATAATTCTCTAGGAAGAGATCTAGAGAAGGAAAAAAAAAAGAAAAAAGAAAAAAGGTAACTCCTTTTTCCTCAGTTCTCCAACTTTCTATTTCCTAAGAGGGGAGCCCAGCAAAAAATAAAACCAAGAAACAAATTCTCATTGCAGATCTGGCAACTCGAATGCACATCGCTCTTGACCAGAGGCATTCCCAGATTTGCCCACGTTGGTTAAGAAAGTGACCACCTTAACCATGAAGGCTCTTCGCTGCCGGGGTAAGAAAAGGAGGAAAAAAACAAAGTTAAAAATTAAGTTTCTTTCAGTTCTCCCTTACTCGAGCTCCGGAATTACCCGGCAACCTAGAAGCCGGCTCATATTAGGGGGCTGGGCCGAGTCCGGGAGTCGAGGTCCCGGCTGGGGCAACCCTTTGTCGTGTCCTAGCAACGCGCTCTTCCCTGAGCTCAGCAGGGCCTCTGCTTCTCCAGGCCCCCGCCCACCCTCTCACGGTGTCCGTCACGGTTCGGGTGGCCGCGGATTCCCACACCCTTGGCTCAGCGCCGGGCTGCCTTTCTGCTCTTTTTGTGGTGGGAGCAGCCTGAGAGCCAGATTAGGGGCAGAGACAGCGAGACGCAACGTTTAAGTTGACACAAAGAAAAAGAATCAACGAAGTTCAAGATTTTGGAAATTTTAATTTTTAAAGCCTATCCTAAGCTCCGGGGAGAAAGGGCTGAAAGGTGGGAAAATCATTTTGGTACAAACTCCATATAACGAAGGAAGAAAAGAGACCAATCAGGGACCCAGTATCCAGTTGATTGGGAACTGAGGATGTTGGACACTATCATTCCTGCTCTTCAGGACCTGAGCAGGCAGGTGCTGCCCACGCTGCCCTTGCTGAGCCAGGAGGGTAAGAGGCTTGGGGTGGGGACTCTGGAGACACTGGACCTTCACCTGTTTTGGGGCGTGGGGTAGTGGTGAGGTAGAATACTTATTTTTCTATTCCTTGGCTCCAGCCTGACTTGGAGTGGCTAGGTTACTTTGTTAACTAGCTAGGTATCACATTAACCATTTGTTTATTTTTAATTGGCTGTCCTAAGCAGGGAATGGAGGCAGATGAGGGTTTTGATTAAACGAAATAATACATATTTATATGTATTTTACACACACACACACACAGTATTTAGCTAGTGAACTACCACAAATAAATGCTAGCTAAAAACAACCATCCCATTTCATCTACTGGGACAGATGGAAACCCTTGTGGATACCTAGAGAAAAATTGTTGCACAGGAACTTTTAGATGGCTCCTTTTCAGAGTTCATGCAAAGGCACCGTTGCTTTTGCTGTCGTTGACATCTTGCAGTTTTGTTAAGAAAATGAAATGATCATAAAAAATATTTGATAACTGTTTGAAAGGGGACCTGGGCAGCTTTTCATAGAAGACTCTCCAAGCTTGGTTAGTGGCAACACAATCTGTTTTTACTGTAGTTTCTTAGTTGCCTCAAAGTAGACTTTGAGATCTGTCTGTAAGCAATAGGAGCCCTTTGGAAGAAAGGTGTTCCAGAAGTGGAAGCTATTATTATTATCAAGCCAGTGTAACTTAGACATATTGTCCAGATTTTAACCAAATGATTTTAGGGGACAAAATAAATGGTCATGAGTTCTTCTTCTTTTTCCTTTTCCTGAATCACTCCTAATTTTTCCCATCAAAATAATTCTAAGAGAAGTATTAAAGATAGTATTTGGATTTAAAATATTTGCCATATTTATAAATTATATATATATGTGTGTGTATACTTTTTTGAAATCCTGTTTATGTACTGAGCACTAGAGAACTGATGTTGACTAAAAGTCTTGAAATTTACAATCTAGTGAGGAAGGTACACATTAATCAAATAATCATACAAATAAATGTGTATTTACATTTGAGGAAAGTGCTACGAAGAGGAAAAATGGTACAATAAGAAGTCCCCCCAGCCCACCTCAGTTCTGGGGATTGAACTCAGAGCCTTACAGACAAGTATTGTACCACTGTACCACTGGTCTACTTCTCCAGCTCTAAATCTTTTATTTTTTAGTCTGTTTTTAAAAACAGCTTTAACTTTGAAGCAAAATTTTCAAAATTTAGAGGAAGGTACAGAGATTTCTCCCATCCCTCTATCCCTGTACATGTATAGTTTCCTGGGTTATCATCATCCCACACAGAAAGTGGTGCAATTGTTAAAACTGATGAGCCTACATTGATACATCATAGTCAGGTTCAGTCTTATACATTCTATGGGTTTGGACAAATGTAAGATGACTTGTATCCATCATTAGAGTGTCATATAGAGGCTTTCCACTGACCTAAAAGTCCTCTGTGTTCCGCCTATTCATCCCTACCCCAGCCTCCAATTCCTGGCACCCACTGATCTTTCTACTGTCTCCATAGTTTGTCCTTTTCAAAAAGTTATATAGTTTGAATCATATAGTATGTAGCCTTTTAAAACTGGCTTCTTTCATTTAGCAATATACATTTAAATTCCCTTCATGTCTTTTCATGGCTTACTAGCTCGTTTCTTTTTAGTATTGAATAATATTTGGTCACCCAAATGCAGTACAGTTTTATCCATTTGCCAGTTGAAAGGCATCTTGGTTGCTTCCAAGTTTTGGCAACCATAAACATCTGTGTGTAGGATTTTGTGTGGATATTCGTTTCAGTTCATTTAGATAAATACCAAGAAGGATGATTGCTAGAATGTTTGGTAAGAGAATAAAAAATTGCCAGGCTGACTTCCAAAGGGTTTGTACCATGTTGCACTCCAGCAGCAATCAGTTAAAATTTCTGTTGTTCCACGTCAGTACCAGCATTTACTATCACAGCATTCTAGATTTAGGTTATTCTATTAGGTGTGTGTGGTGGTAGCTCATTTTTGTTTTTGTTTTTGTTTCCTTGTACTGGTGATTTAATCCAGCAGCAGTTTACCACTGAATTACATCTCCAGCCCTTTTTGTTTTTTATTTTATTATTTGTTTATTTAAAAATTAAATTTAAAAAATCTGGAAAGCAGCATGGAGATTCCTTAGAAAACTTGAAATGGAACCACCATTTGATCAGCTAAACCCACTCCTTGGTGTATACCCAAAGGACTTAAAATCAGCATACTACAGGGACACAGCTACACCAATGTTTATAGCAGCTCAATTCACAATAGCTAAGCTGTGGAAGCAATCTAGATGCCCTTCAATAGATGAATGGATAAAGAAACTGTAGCATATATACACAATGGAATATTACTCAGAATTAAAATACAATAAAATCATGGCATTTGCAGGTAAATGGATGGAGTTGGAGAATATCATGCTAAGTGAAGTATGCCAATCCCCAAAAGCCAAAGGCGGAATGTACTCTTTGATAAGTGGATGCTGATCCATAATGGTGGGGGACAAGGGAAAAATGGAGGAACTTTGGGCAAAGGGGAGGGAGGGGTGGGAAAGGGGCATGGGGGTAGGAAAGATGCTCAATGAGATGGTCATCATTACTCTAGTTTCTTGTATGACTGCACATATAGTGCGATGCTACATTGTGTACAGCCATAGAAATGTAAAGTTGTGCTGCAATTTTGTACAATGAACCAAAATGCATTCTGCTGTCATATATACCTAATTAAAATCTAAAAAAGATTCAGTTGTCAATAGACCTTTATTTTATTTATTTATTTCTGGTGCTGAGAATAGAACCCAGGGCCTCGCACATGCTAGGCAAGTGCTCCACCACCAAGCCACAAACCCAGCCATTGTTTTATATTTTGAAACAAGGTCTCACTGTTGTTTATGGCCTCACTCAATTTCTGAGGGTCTTGCTAATTTGCTGAGGCTAGCCTTGCTAAATCTGCCATCTTCCTGTTCTGGGATTATAGGTGTATGCTACCTCACCCAGCTGGTTCTGTCCATTTCTGATAGAAGAGATTCAAAATCTCCTAGCACGAAAGTGGATTAATCTTTTGCTCTTTACAGTTCTTTTAGGTTTTGCCTTATATAATTTGATGTTCTGTTTTTAGGGAAATTCATAGTAAGGATTATTATATCTTCTTGAATGATTGACCTTGTTATTATATAATGCTCTTCTTTATCCCTTATAGCTTTCTTAGATTTGAAGTCTTCTCCATCTGAAATTAATAGTTACTCATTTTCTCTTGATTAGTGTTAGCATGATCTATTTTTCTCTATTCATTTACTTCTTTTTTGACTTAGTGCTATTTACTTTTATTCTTTTTTTTAGATATACATGACAGTAGAGTGTATTTTGACATATTATAATACTATACATTTACTTTTAATCTATGTCTTTAAAGTGGGTTTCTTATAGACAAGGATCCTGATTTTGGACAAGTTGAAGGGACTTTGTGGGCTGCCCAAGTAGGTAGTTGGATCAAATACATAAGTTCATAACCTTAGAGATAGGGGTTTGAGGAATCTGGACTTATAAATAAACATTTGGGAATCATACTGGGCATGGATGTGAATGCTTAAGCAGAATATATAAAGGGGAAGCAGCCTAGGGTCCTAGTTTGAAAAACCTCATCATTTAATGGATCATCCTTGAGGAGGATAAGCCTGAAAAGGAGACTGAGAAGAAATAGCCAGAGAGGTAAGAGGAAACAAGGGGAAACAGTGTGACATGACAGTCAAAAGGAGGTTTGCTTAAAGGAGGGGAGTGATCAATAGTGTCAGACCTGATGGAGGGAATCAGAAGAGATGAACAATCGACATGCTCATTGAATGTATTGACCAGTGGTGATTTTAGCAAGGGCTTTATTGGATGTATGACAGAGCTAAAATCAAAATAACTGTGTTAATATTCCACAAATGGTGCATTGTAAAGAGAGGAAGATAAACTCTAAACCTCAGCAAAATATGAATGAACTTCATCATTGCATTTGTTCTTCACTGTGTATTCCAACTGCTTTTGTGTTTCACCAAAGTTCAATATTATGTAATTATAGTGCTTACAAGGTCCTGTCATGATTTTACAAAGGTAAACTGAGTGAAACCATTAATTCCACAGAGGCAGGAAGGCTTAGGCCTAACATGCAGCATATGGCTCTTTCCTTTGTACTATGCTCTGTGACATAGTATTTAATATTATTGAATATTTTGTTCTGTTTTTACATGAATATTTTAATTTTAGAAGATGATTGTATTTTAATTTTTTGATATTTAAAAATTTTTGATATTAATATCTATTCTGGCATATGTTATTTTTCAATTTACATAATGTATGCTTAGTCCGTTTTATAATGATAAGATACTTGTCATTGTGATTGAAAATATGGTTTGAGTTTATAAACTATTTAGAATTTGAAGTGAAATGAAGGTTGAATTGAATGCAGAAAGGTATATGTAAGAAATAATTCTCTATAACAGTGATTTTTGGTATTTCATGATTAAAACAAATAAGAAATCCAGCTTTCCTTAAAATATAAAAGAGTAGTATATTATTTAATTTGCTTTTTAGACTGGATTGAGATTCTTTTCATTTTGAGATTTAGTAATGTCCTCTCTGAAAATTTGGAGTGTAAGAATAAATCACCATCTATATAATTTACAAATCTATCACAATTGAATTATAGGGGTCAAAAACTTCCTAAGGAGAGTGTGGATACACGTTTTCCTTTTTTGTTCAGTGAAAAAATAACAAATTTCAGTTAAAACAATTAAGTCTGCTTTTGTACAACTTTGCCTTTTATATTTCATGGAGTAAAACATTAAGGGGGAACTTAAACAAATCATGCAAACGAAAAGCTTAGTTAATTCTTTTCATTAGGGTTTGGTTGCAAACTATACAGTTTCTCCTGGCCTTAATAAGTCATTTCTTCTGTTGTTAGCTTCCTGAAATCTGAGCTGCATGTCTAGGTGAAAGACTTTTAGTCATAAACTTTAAGTTTTGACTTAATAACTTTGAAAATTCTCTGAGTAAATCTGGATACTGAGATTTTTATTAGTGAATTAATGACATTTTTGATTAGAATAAAAATTATAACCCAGTATACAGTTTGGCCTGGTTGAAAGACCTTCTTAGTTCTTAGCAGCCAGCAGGAGAATTCTTTTGGGTATAGGGGCAGGCAGGAGTGGGGAAAGCAGTAGGAGGGTGGACAGAGTGTGGGAAACACCTAGTTATAGAAACTACACATCCAAGATTTAGAGGAAGGGCAGGATCTTTGCCCTTGTGCTCGCTGTGGCATGCAGCCCTGGTTTCATTGGCGGGTGATTAAATTTCCAACATCAAACTTATTCCCATGAGAATAACTGCTACTTCTCGTCCAGTTAACCTGCCCCTTCCCTCGCATAATAATGAAAATATTTATTACCTTTATTTGCTAGGATTAAAAGGTTGCAATTTCCCTGCTTTAATTAGTGTTTTAAACCAGTAAGGAAAAAAATGATACCAATAAATCAAGCAGTTGTCAAAGTGAGGAAAGAATTGGCTTTTGTCACCAACTTCATGTATGTCCCAAAGTGGCAGTCTGGTGAATGTCACCTTTCTTGATCTTCTACTTTGAGGATTAAAACGTAATACTCTAGATTCACGTAGAGTTCATCATTGGAAAGTGTCTTTAATAAGCACAAGTTTATATTTGGAAATGGAGATGTCAACATAGACATAATTTTCCATGTTTTTAAACATATCCAGAGCATATATTTATATTGCTCATTAACATTATAGTTATTGGTAACTACCTATTTTCTACCACAGTTTTTTTAAACCACAACATGAGACAAGAAAATAAACATAGAAGGTGTCTTTCTGATCACAGTAGATAGTGCAAAATCTACCCATTAACTTAAAGCAAAACCCTTGGGCCCTTCTCCAAGGTCTGTTTTTTTAAAAAGTATTATTCTAGACATAATATTAGTATACTGTTGTTTTCAGAACACAGCAGACTAAAAGCAGTGAATTAGAACTTGGCAGGGGGTCTGCAGAGCACTAGCCGTAGAGAAAAGTGAGAGCTGGCAATTTCACTGTGAAAAATGAGAATGTACACTAGATTGGAGAATCTAACAAAAGTAGAAGTGTAGGCACAGATAATACTCAGATGACAGCCACTCTTGACTAAGTGGCCCTTGGCCTAATTCCCATGTTATAGAATGGTATGAGAATAACTTTTTATATTAATTAGATAGCAGAGTAGACATATAATGAGCGTTTTTTTGAATGAGTCATTGAGAAAAAACTAGATTATGGTTGGTTAACTTCATTTTTAGGATAAAAGGAAATGTGTGACTATTTCCTTTATGCCAGAAAAATTTTCTTTAAAAAATCTATATTATTATTATTGTTTTTGTTATTAAAATCACACCTAAAGGGGTGAGCATGAGTTACTAGCCAAACTAACTTTGGAGACTTACTTTATTTTCTGTTAATTCTAGATTAATTAGGAATTACTGTCATTTGATTCTGCATTTCATATTTATACTTTATTTGTTAGCACTAAGATCCTATCACATGGTTGCTCACAAAGTATTTTGGTTTCTTTTGAATTTCAGAAGTCTCTACTATTTGGGGGAATGTTTCAGAGTTTGTGGAGCGGCAGCTAGCCCTGCACAAGGTAGGAATTATACTTTTAATGTCGGGATTTGAAGGCTCTTCCTTACGTAGTCTTGTATAATTTGCCAGGAGTGGTATAAATGTAGGCTTCAGAGCCACCCAATTTAACTGTCATTGCTGTGATTTTGTGATGTTCACACTTAGGGCTTGTGGAGAGTAGGTTTAACAAATGTGGATTTTTTCCCTAGGTAATGATTTTTTAAGTTCTGCTGTTCTAGTGATACAACGTGTAATGCCAATCAGCCTGGGTTTGTGTAAAACTAGGCCTGTTCTATTTGTGACCTGATAGTTCCCACACAGCTGTGGAAGGATATAATGTTTCTTGTCTTGCTTCCTTACGGGGAATGGATTTTAATTGAATTACATGAAGACATTCAGGAACAAAACTTGCCAAAAATAAGAAACTTTGCCCAGGGCTAGACTACTTCCTCCTGTCAGGTTGGGTTTGGAAGCCATGGAACTGACAAAAGTTTTGGGAGGAAGCTGTGGAACTTTATTAGAGCCATTGGATGAATTGCCCTTCAAATTTATTATTATTATTATTATTTGGTTTAAGAATTTGAATTACTTATCATCATTTAAAATTGGGAGAGTTTATATAAATTGTTGAATTCTCCCCTCCCTTTTCTTGAAAATCAGTAGATTTAACAGCAGCAGTCTTCCATTCCTGCAGATGACACTTGGTTAGAGCCCATGATGGACTCTCCTCTTCAGATAAGGCCTACACTCCACACTTCCAGTCCCCTGGCTGGCTAGTTAGACTCCTTTGCATTCTTTTATGACTCCCGCAGGCAGTAGAGTTTGTAATGAGGCAGTAGAGTTTGTAATCCTAGATGTATATTATCTCCCTAGAGACAGAAAACCTAGTTTGAGGGCCAAAAACATTTGCTACTATCTGTCAGCCAAGACCACACTACATTGCAGCATATGCCTTGAATGCTGGGTTGTCTGCTTTTAAGTAGGAGACATAAAATCTGAAAGAATGAGAAGCCTTAAATGGCAAGTGATTAAAATTTAAAAGTCATACCAATTTAGGACAAGAGTAATTTTAGATATAGATTTCAAAAAGATAAGGCTTTAATGCAATTTTTCATAATCCTCACATCCTTTTCATGATATGGAGATGAGACATCTGATGTCTGAAAAACATTATGGATCAATATATTTACACTTTAGACTAAATTTATTTGGAAATTTAGAATCTTAAAATGCTACAGCTGCTATAAGGGTTGTAGAGATTATTGGATTTTTAAGGCCTAAGCTTAAATTCTCTTCATGAGTTTAGATACAGTAGGACTATTTTTCTTTACTCCTTCAATTAATTATGTTTATTGCTTTTTTCCCTCTTCTTTCTTTCTTTCAGGGAGTTCATATTTCAGGATTTGGAACTTTCACTTTCACGAGACAAAAGCTTGAAATGGGAAACAAGTTTATTCTAATTCAGAGGCCTGTGTTTATCATGGCAGAGAAGTTATTGCAGACTCATGGGCTCAGTCAAAACAAAGTTTATTCTCCTGGTAAATCATATTATATTTAAGACTTTCCCAGAATGTTATTGGCCTGGGATAAAAATGAAAGAGCAAAGCTTGGCCAGTGCTGCTTCATTGGTTTCTAGTTTGAGGGACTCACATTTCACATGGTACCTTTGGTAGTGACTGGGATGGGAATATGATAGTGTCTTTCTGCAGGTCATTTTAAACCCCAGTAACTTAAGAGGCAGGTATGAGAATAGGTGATGGGATATGAAGGCAAATTTACCTGAAAACCATGCCACAGAGTTGTATAGACTCTTATTTGTATTTCAGATCCAAAGAAATGTAGAGTGATTATAATAAAGAGAAATTTAATTAGGGTCTCCAGTTGGCAGGATTAGAGTCAGTATTAGCTGTGAAAAAGTTAAATAAATGTGATTCTATCATATATAACTTAAATTATTGTTATACAAATCTAGAAGTTGAATAATTCCATATTTTATGCATACCTTCTATACCTTTTTCATATCCTGAAATCCAACCTTCTGGGGGCTAGGACTGTAACTCAGTGGGAGAGCACTTTCCTGGCATGTGTGAAGTCCTGGGTTCAATCCCTAGGACTGCAAACAACAAAAACTAAAACAAAACCAAAACTAACCAAACAAACAAAAAAAACAGTCTTCCTTCTGCAAACATTTACTGAGCGCCAACTATGTATCAAGCCTTGTTGCAGGTGCTTGAGCTATAATGGTAAACAAAAAAGACACAATCCCTTCCACAGGACAGGTATCTAGCTGTAGCATGTGGGTGTCATGCCATGATTGGTTAGCAAACTTTGGGGTTTACTTCTTGATTCCCAGCTGTGTTCCTTTTGACCTCACTTATTATCTCCTCCTGCATCAGACTCAGAGATGGATAAACGGAGATGTGTTCTATCCCCCTTGACAGAGGTGAAAAACTATAACTTTCTGAAAATTATAATTTTCAATATATGGCTTTCCTGATGAAAAAACAAAATACCAACACACTGTACTTAGAATATATTCACTACAGTGGGTTTGATAAACTTTAAAGCCATTTTTGCCTAAAATTTATAACAGAAGAAATATATTTCATCAAAAACCTACCAAAGGAATTGAAGATAAAGTCATTTTTTCCTTTTATTCTTCTTCTTCTTCTTCTTTTTTTTTGCAAAAACAATGGTGCCTTAGATTTAGAACTTATTTTCCATCTTTGATATTTTAATATAGTGAAAAAATTAACTTTTTTAGAATTAATTTTTTAGAGGGTGAAGAATTTTGGAATTAATGAAATGTAATGAACTGAAGTCATTCAAAAGAACATTTCTGTCTACAGTTTAGCTTTGGTGTTATGATTCCTTATCATTCATCAATCAGATAACTAATCAAACATTTACTCGTTTTTAATGATTAGTAAGATGTGGTTTTTGCTTTGAAGCACTCAAGATCTTATCATAGCTGATAAGTATATACTAGCAAATGATGCAGCATGATTAAATGTTATAAAAGCAGCACTGGACTAGGGATGTAGCTCAGTGGTAGAATGCTGAGTTCAATCCCCAGCACCAGGATCAGAGAGCAGCACTGATCAGAAAGGGATTGGACACTATGGGAGCCCAGAAGAGATCATGCCCAGCTTTGCTTGGGGAAGCGTGGTTTAAGATGACATGTGAGGAGGCTTAAAAGATGGTGGGGTGTGGTGGTCCATACTTGTAATCCCAGTAACTCATGAGGCTGAGGCAAGAGGACCACAAGTTCAAGTAAAGCCTTAGGAACTTATCAAGACCCTGTCCCAAAATAAATACCAAAAATGTCTGGGGATGTAACTCAGTGGCAGAGTGCCCCTGTATTCAATCCCCAGTACTAAAAAAAAAAAAAAAAAGATAGTAGGCTTTTGCTGGCAGAGAAGCTATGGGAAGATATTCCAGTTCCAGGACTGGTGTGAACAAGTCAAGAATATGGGAAAGAGTAAAGCCCATTAAAGAAGTAATGGGCATATCTGAGTAGGAGCAGAAGGAGAGCAGTAAGATAAAAATGGCAGATAGGGGTTAGTTGTGTTATTATAACGACTTAAGAATCTATCCTGTAGGCACTGAGAGCCATTGAAAGGTTTTGAGCAGAGAATTTTCAGTTTTGTTCCAGTTTTTAGTTTGGGAAGGTAGCTCTTTTGATTATGGTGAAATAAGATAAAAGCTTGAATGGAGGGAGTGACATCAGGAGGGAAATGAGGGGTTCTATTCCTGAGACATTTCAGATGTAGAACAGACAGGGCTGATTGAGAGAAATGGATAGCAAGAGGTGGAGTGGTATTTAGGACAACTGATTTCTTGGTTGGAGAACAGATGGATGCTAATGCTGTTAATCACCATAGGAAATGAAGATGAAAGGCAGGTGGTGATGGTGGATAAAACAATGCATTTGCTTTGGGACATGCTAAGTTTTGATTCTTGTTAGGGATATTTAGGTAGAGATAATTCCAGAGCTTAGGAGAAAGGTGAAGACCAGAGATCAAGATTTGAATAAGTTTACCTAGGAGAAAGGATATAAAATAAGATGACACAGATACGAACAAAATACTGTAAAATAAATTAATAAACCAAACCCCAAACCCTAAGTATAATAAGGAGTAGAAGAGGAGAGAAGCCAGCAAAGGAGACCAAGGAGAAGGAAACCAGAGAAGCAAGCGTGATGTCATAGGTATGAGAAAAAAGAGTGCAGGCATCAGGAGTTACAGAGAAGACAGGAGAGATGAGATTTGCAAGTATCCTTTGGCTTGTCTCTCATGAGAGATAGTGTCTTTATTGAGATGAGAGCACTGGAAGATAGATTGCAGAGAGGTGAGGGGAGTGGAGGGAGAATCCAGAGGCAGGAAATCTGGCTTTCTCTTAAGAAATTTATATTTAAAAACAGAAATAAATGGAGGGAGGTAGAGTAGAATTATTAAATTGTGAGGGAGACACAATATAGTCACTAGTATAGTGAAGCTTTTGTCTTGTAGAGCTTTAACCCTTGTTACTCAGCAATACTGGACATTTGAAAATCTAATTCATGTTTTTACAGAATGACCATTTAGAATATTATTATCTTATTTCTGTCCTGTTCCTCCATCAATGGGCCTTGTTATTATCTCTCTTTGGCTTTATCATCTTGATGCTTTTTTGGTTTTACCCCTTTTCTTAACTGTGGGACTTGCATCTCTTCAGGTCAAATAGATCCTGTGCTTCCTTTCAAACTAGATATAAACTTATTCTTTTGCAATGCCAATTATGGGATCATTAGGGAAGAAAAGCTTTCTTCAATTCACCCAGTTGGAGATTATCTATCTCTCAGTTATATGTATATATAAGATCCAGTTTCATTTGTGTGATAACTTTTATTGAATCTATCTTTTCAAAACAGACTTTAGAGATATTATAATCATTTAAGAATGGTATGATAATTGAAGGAGATATGCAAATATTACTGCAGCATGGCCTGGGAGATAAGGGGGCTGAAAACTTGAGAAAACTCTGATGAAGCTGAGCAATTATTGCTGTCTTCTAGAAAGAAACCAAAAGCTTGTCTAGAGTGATGTTTAGAAAGCTAATTATTCTTCTTTTGAAGATAAAACAGTATACTTTTTGGGAAAATTGTACTGATTAATATGTGTTAACCTGTTGTGTTAGTTGTCTGCAATAATAATATCACGTTGGGTACAAATAAATATTTTACATGGACAATTCTATTATTGAGTACTAAGAGAGAATCAGATAATTATTTGTGAGTATCTATGGTATGTTTGTAATCTCCACTCCCTTTCTCCCACCCTAACTGTCTTTTTCTCCTCTAGGTGATATCCCAGTTGTTCCACTTAATTTTATCATGATATCCCTGGAGAGTCCATTTAACAGGGACACAGTGGAAGGATGTGTTAAGGAGACAATACTTTTTTTATCACGATCCATTTCTATCAAAAAAAATGTGGAGTTTACATTCAAAGGAATTGGGGTCCTCGTGATCAAAGATGGCAAAGTGAAGATGAAATTTTATAAGGACTTCCTTTGTAACATGGATGGAAGTGGGACTTTGATCAAAGCCCTAGCAAACGTAAATTAATGTTTTCTTCTGCTAACCCCTCTCCCAACAGTAGGTCTGAATCATCTAGGTGTCACATCATTAAGAAAAAACATATTAACATATTTTAAGTGTAAGTTTCTCCAAGTTCATGGACATGCCTGTCAATAGATGATTAACTCTGTGAGAAAAATACAAGAAGGGCAAGGAAGCTTTAAACTAAATTTGAGTCAGTGCCAAATGAGAAATATAACCAGTAATAGAAACATAATTCTGGATATTTTATAGCACCTTATAGTTCAAAAGTTCTTCCACATATTTTATTTCATTTGTCTCAAAACATTATAAAAGCTGCATCATAGCATGATCATCCTGATTTACAAGAGAAAAGTGGGAGCCAGAGGTTGTGTGGGAGCCCTGAGGTCAGGGTGCGGGTGGTGCAGTCCCTGGGACTTGAGCTCAGACTTCCTCATTACCTAGTTTTGCTACATATATTCTTTTAGTTTAAAGAAAGTCTATGACAAAATTGAATTCAAGTCATAGGAATGTGTCTTTAGCTTTTAATTTGCCATACATAGAAGAAATTTTGTAACTGACATCATCATTGTTAACAATTAAGTATCTGGCATGAAATTTATGCCAAGTTGGACATAGCAGTAAAAGTTTAAAGTCAATCCACAGGATTTGTGCCTTATGTACTTCTTAGAGAACTAACAGAATTGACATGATTCATTGAATTACCACAGAATAGCATATAGCAAAAGTCTGATTTTTTTAAAAGAAAGTTTAGGGGGTTGGGGTTGTAGCTCAGTGGTAGCGCACTTGCCTGGCATGTGTGAGGTACTGAGTTTAATTCTCAGCACCACATATAAATAAATAAAAATAAAATTCCATCAACAACTAAAAAAAATTTATATTTTTTAAAAAAGAGTCTATGAAAATGGCTAAGTTCTACTCATTTCTCACTTCATATAGTTCTGGGATGGAGATTTGGGAGATGGGGTTGTATATAATGAGCCTCTTGGTGTTTTTTACACTACTTGGGTTTTTTACAGGATTGCTAAGAGTGTAGAAAGTAGAAACACACATGAAAAAAAAAAAACCTGTCATTTCCACAAAAACATAAGGCAAGATTTGCAAATCTGTAAGCAAGGCCAAAGTGGCTAGCTCATCTCTAACCTTGAGGCATTCTACTGAACTTTAGAGCTTCACTATATGTTTACAAGACAGAAGATAAAATCTTACTTGGCTTGTTGAATTCTAAAGCATAACTTTTAAGGAACATTTTCTGAAAGAACTAGTCCTGAGAAGATATTATTTGATAAAAGGGTTTGGAGGCCAAAAGAGATTGAGAACTGCTGATTATATCAATCACTGTCATAGACACAGAGTGGTGAGGCCCAGAGCCCATCAGCACATTAAAGGAGCTGAGAAGTCTGGCTGTAAAGCAACCAGTTTGACTGTAGTAACCAGAGAACTCATAAGTAGTTCATTAACTCTATGAACGCTGGTTGTTTTATTCTCAAATGTTCTGTAACTTAAACCTGAGAATTGTCCTGGAATAGTCCTCTTGGGAGCTTTTATATTTATTTCAGTGATGCTCCTTTTTGATTATTTTAAAACCTCTTTATGGGAACTCCCTTTGAAGTCTTTTAAAGGCTGTAGCATTCATTCAAAAATGATGATAATTTTTGGATCTAGGGATGTGGCACAATGGTAAAGCACTCGCCTGGCATGAGTGATGCCCTAAGTTTGATCCCAAGTACTAAAAAAAAAATCATGAATCATTCTATCCTGATGATGTAATAAAGTGGTTATTTTACAGTGTAATAATTACAACTGCTGCTTGTTGAGTGCTTATTATAAACTCACATAGAGCACATCATGAAAATCCTATGAATTTGAACCTATTATTATCCCCACAACCCTAGTGTCCAAGGTCACACAGCAGGGACTTGAACATAAGCCCACTTGACTCCAAAACCCTTTTCTAAACTGTATATTTTAGAGTTTTTTGGATCAAAGGTAGAATTAGCCAGCTGGCTCAAAAATTCCTCGATAAATTTAGGAAGTCTAGTCTCCCTTCAAGGATGTCTAAAGGAAGGTGTCAGTTGTCAAAGCAATTTCCAAAGAGGAGATGGTTTGAGAAAACGCAGCATCATTGGAATAACCCTGCGTGACTACTCTGAAGAATAAAATTATTCCACACTAGATTTTGAGCTCTGGACTTTAAAATGGTAAACAAAACAACCAAAGAGTATCATGGTAGCCTCATCTTTGAGAGCTCAGGTGTAACTTTCTCTCTGTTCTGCAGAGGCCCAACACTGTGGACTCGGTGTTGTCAAGCAGAGAGGCCTTGAAGAGGCGGCCTGGTAGTGTCCTTTTGTTTCCAAGGTGAGTACTTTGCTCTGAGGGTTTCTCTAGGTACCAACTCTCCTTGCTCATCTGTTGATCTGATTGGGCAGCATTTCTCAACCTATACAACTCATACTCCTTTTAATGTACATGTATGTGTATATATATATATATATATATATATATATATATATATATACACACAACAGAATAAAATACAGTTATTATTTTTGAATAAATGCTATAGCCTACAAAAAGTTTTGAAGGGAATTCCCATAAAGAGTTTTTTTTTTTTTTTTTAAATAAGGAAGTAGCATACTAAAATAAGTACAATAAATTCCCAAGAGAATCAGCAAAGAAGAGTTTCTTGTATACAGTGGTCTTTAGAATTTCTAAAATTTGAAATTTCTAAATTTCAAGTTATTTCTTTTATAAACTACTCTCAAATACCTGGAGATTCTGACCCCACAAACCTCAGACCCTGCTGGGTTTCCCTCTATTTCCCCTACTTCCTCTTCCTTTGCTTTTCTCTTCCCTCATCTTAGCCCATCTCCCATCTGAGCTCTTCTTCTTACCACTAAACAGGTTGAAAAGATAAGGTAGAACAGGGAACAGCTTTACCCAAGGGGTATGGTGGGTGTTGCTGAAGTCTGCTGCTGACAATGTTTATAATAGTGATGATGATGATAATAATGATAGTAGTAATAACAGTTACTATATAGCACCTACTGGATGCCATTTACTGTTAAAGCACTTTCTCAATGTTCTCGAATTTACTCTTCACTGCAACTGTTATAATTTCCTCCATTTTATAGAGATTCTAAATTGATTTAGTTAAAAAATATATAAACAGTGGAAGCAACATGGTGCACTACTCAGAACATTAGAATGGGAGTCAGGAGGCTTTGGTTTTATTTTTCAGTATGATTATCACCCATTTATTATGTGTCCTTAATTATCTTCTTAATCTTAATTGCTATAACATTAACTACTGTGCATTTCTGGTGGATAATAACAGCTTTCCAGAGTTAGTGTTTTCTCATAGATTTGGAGTCTGTGACCTCTTCTTGATTTGTTGATTTGGAGCAACCCCATCCAGGAAGAGCCTTGTGACACATATCTCATTAATTTTTTTTTAAAAAATTATACATGGACGCAATATCTTTATTTTGTCTATTTTTATGTGGTACTAAGGATTGAACCCAGTGCTCCACATGTGCAAGGCAAGTGCCCTGCCACTGAGCCACAACCTCAGTCTGATACATACCTCTTAAGAACTGTGATGAGGGCCAGAATAAGCCTTAGAGAGTAGTCAATCCAGCCCCCTCATCATCTTGTAGGTGAAATGTCCACCCAAGTAATGAATAGCCATGCTAGAAATAAATGAAAATAAGTCCATGAATTCAAAATCATTTTATTTTGATTCATTTGGAAGGAAAATCTGGCTTTGCCATATTTTTGGCTTATACACTCCAGGAGGAAAATAATTCCAGAGGGTAAAAACAAACCAACCAACAAACCAACAAAAAACAGAGATGGAAGTGCTTGCCAATTTGAGAGTCTAAAAGTGGACATGAGAACTCAAACACTCAAAATGCTTGCTGGTATTTATGTATGTGAAGTTTGGCCCCTGAATTTACTTAGAATACCACTGTAGCCCTAATTCTAGTCCATCCCTAATTCTTTGGTCTTTGAGATCAAAGAACCTACAACTACACCACAAACTGAACACCACCTCCCCTCCCAGTGTACCTTTTCAGGTCCTTCGCATAAGGCATGCTGTCTACCTGTTTGTGATTTCTTGCCTTCAAGTTATCCAACAACCGCCAACAACTCTATCACCCTCATATCTAGTTACAGAACTAAAAAGGACATTGACAAATTCAAACTAAAACCCAAACCAAAAACTTAACCTGAGGCTTTCAAGGAAATTTATTTATATACAAGCTGTTTTGAGCCCACAGTATAGTGGGTCCAGGTCTTGGTTGGCTCTCAGAATGAGTCTCAAAGAGAGTGAGTTCAAGACATGTATTCAGCAAATCAGAACACTCACTCACTTGAAGGAGGAAGAGGGCTCTTTTCAGATTCAGCAAGAGAGTGTTTGAGAGTCCAGGTCCAGTGTAATGGACAAGCATCTTGACTTTTTCCTAGGATTGAGCACAAAGAGATGGAGAACAAACCACCTATGGAGACCATTGCAGAAGAAGGTAGAGAGAATAGACAAACAAAGAGCAAGGTGAAAGACCAGCCAGAAAAAGGAGATGTCAAGGGTAGGCCATGATTTGTGGGAATAATCTGTCACTCTTTACTGCTCATGTGCCCAGCCATATTTCTTAGCAACTCGTGTGCCCAGCCATATTTCTTAGCAACTCATATGCCCAATGTAAATAGGTATATTCATGAATAATCAATGTGTTCTTTTCTCTAACAAACCTCTATTTCTGGAATCCTGTATCTCACCTTAACCATTTTATGTGTCTTAGATCCCATGACTCTCAGACTTCTAGACTATTATCTCTTTGTATCTCTGTAGGCATAAAAACTCAGATGCCTGCAGGGACAAGGCATAACAAATGCATGAAGTGGGCTGTATAGAAGAAGGCAGGGAAACACATAAATAACACTTTTTATGGGAAAAAAAGTGGCAGTTTTATCTCTTTAATGTTGGTAGAAGATAGCTGGATTCTCCTATCTGTGTATGCATTTAATTTGTTGTAAAAAGTTGTTTTGGTTGAAGCTTTTGAAGATAATTTGAGGACTTTGAAGACATTTTGAAAGGGTCCTAGAGACCATGCCCTGTGGACTGTTCCTCTAATATATTAGTACTTTGTAAAAATGTGGTTCAAGTAGTATCAAATCTTCTGATTTTTCAAGAAAAGCAAACATTCTGACTTTGATACAAAATTGCTGAATGTTGACAACTAATTGATATTGAAACAAAAAATGCCTGATTGGGTCCAACAAAACATATTAATGGGTAAACTTTGGCTTGTGGGTGTCAATTTTCAAAGTGTGGCTTACAGAATCACATGTAAACTTTTGGCCTGATATTTGTGGTTTCATTTTCCTACCCCACCCCTCTGTTCCCTTTATACACTTCTTTGGGCAGAATTGCCTATGTATGTTCTCCTAGTATGCCCTAAATGTATCCTGTTCACTCTTTTCCTCCCAGCTGGAATGCCTTTCCTTTTCTTGAGCTCATCTCAGTCCTTGTCACCTTTTGGCACCCTCTTCAGTCACGTATCACTTCCTATATAAAAACTACTCTTATCATGGATTCTGAAGTGGCTTCTCTCTTCTCTGAACATATCAGAACCTTAAACTAAGTTGCTATTTACACAATGATGTAAGGGGCTCATCACTGTCAGTGTGTAATAAAGAAGCTGTCACTTTCTTTGCTTATATATTACTTTTCTGTACAATTGTTAGCTATTGTGATATTTAAGAGCAAAGACTAGCCTCTTTGTAGTCTTTAAATGCCTAGCAGTACTCTTTTTGCATATATGCAGTGAAAGCATTTTTTAAAAATACCACAACAGGGCAAGGGACAATCATTTTTAATGATAACAGAATAGATATCTTATGGAAATTTGTCTTGGTAAAAAGTTGAAAGAAAACTCACTTCCATTTGCTTTTTATTCTACAGAAACCTTGGCACCCAAGAAAATTCGAGATAAACAAATTATGTTCCCAACTAAATCAACCAGCTTGCCAGACCAGTTTGACCATGGTGGGAATGGTGGGACGAACGTAATCTCTAGAAGGTACTGCACTGATATTTTTGGTTTTTGGTACTGGGGATTGAAACCAGGGGCACTTAACTACTGAGTCACATCCGCAGTCCTCCCTCCACTTCTTAAAAATTTTGAGACAGGTTCTTACTAAGTTGCTTAGGGCCTTGCTAAATTGCTGAGACTGGCTTTGAATTTGCAATCCTCCTGCCTCAGCCTGCTGGGATTACAGCAGCAGTTGCCACCGCCCCTGGCAACATTCTTTTTCTGTGGCTTTTAAGTAAATGTAATTTCGAGGTATTTCTTGGTGCAAGGAATTTTAATAATTGCTCATTTATTCTTTTATCCACTATTAATGAGAACATTCTGTGTGTTAGGTGCTGAGGATAATAGAGATGACCAAGGGTCACAATCTAGTGGGAAAGCCAGACATACCTAGAATGAGAGATGACAGTTCAGTGGGAAAAATCTTGTGATAGAGGCAGAAACAAAGTAGCATGGAGGAGGGAACATGTGGCTTTCCTTATGGATCTGGGAAGCTATTTTCCAGCTCTACAATAAACTTCCCTTGCTGCTTTCTGAATGCTTAGATATTCTGATCTAACAGTTTCTTATTTTTGCCAAAAATAAAGTAAGTTTGTCAAACACCTTTAGTTCTCAGTATCAATTTTTTAAACGAATGAATATATTACAATTTATCATGGTTTTGTCTTCTTCCTGTGGTATTATGTCAAAAGATGTCTATTTTATCCTTTTCTCTTCAAGTAGGCTACTTTTCAAGACCTCAAATCAGTCAACTATACTCAAGTGTTTATTAAGCACCTATGTACCTTGCATTGTTATCACTTTTCAATTAATTAATGTATTATAATTTATCAGCTATCATAAGTGCAATTTATGTACATTGTGGGATCCTAAAGTCACATTCAAAACTCTAGGCATTTAAAAAAATAATTTCATGTTATGAAAGATAATTGAGAATTAAATGTCTAGTGGGAATTTAGTTCAATCCAACAAACATAAAGCACTACTGTGTGCTAGGTACTACTCTATGTACTGAAAATACACACCAAAAGATATATAAAGCCACTTTTATAATACTAATAGTTTTGTAGGAAAACTGACACTAGGGGAATAATACATGTGGTGAAGACTACAAAAGTAAGTTTGGAGTTGTTAGTCAAAGTTTCCTGTAGAAGTTAACCAAAAAATATTTTGTGATAATTGCTAAAATAATGCATGTTTATCACAAAAATTTTGAGAAGATGAGAAAAGCAAAATTTACACAAAATATCACTCCTAATCCCTCTACATCAAGGAAAATTGTTAACGTTTTAGTGTATATCCTTCATTTCAATGCATACTATATATATGTGTGTGTATGTGTGTGTGTGTGTGTATGTGTATATATATATATATATATATATATATATATATATATATATATATATATGAAACATATACATTTTAAATAAAATTGAGATCATATTATATGAAACTTTGTTATACTTAACAATAAGTGGTAAAGTCTTCCCCGTGGCTTTATATATTTTATAACATTAACAAATGATTGTTTATCATCCTAATAAAATATTAACCTTTTGTGTAATCAATCTCTTGCTGGATATTTAGATGTATTTCTAGTTTTTTAAATATTATAAATAATGTGACAGTTATAATTATACATCATCCCTTGCACACATCTGAGTATTCCATAGGATAGAAACTTTAAAGTTAAATCTGAGGGAGAAGGGCAAGCCCATTTTGCATGCCTTTGACACAGGTTGCCATTATTCTCAAGAAGTTTTTACCAAATTGTCCTCTGAGCAGCAGTAATGAGAGATTGTCTACAGATTGCTCACATTGAACCTATTGCCTTAAATTCTGTTCTAATTAACAATGCACATTTGGTTAGTATTTATCTAGAATACTCTTTTTATGCCATTCTTTTTCATCTTTGTTAATGTGTGTTTTATTATTTTATGTTATTCTTCTAAAAAAATTTGGATTTTTAAAAACTCAATACAGACTTGAATTTTCAGTTGTAAACTAGTATACTTAGACCTATTTTTATCATATTATTTTGTTTTTTATTTGCCACACATTTAACTTTCTTCTTCTTCTTTTTCTGTTTTCTCTTGAAATGATCACATTTCCTTAGCATGCTTTGAATTTTTTCCAAACTTCACCCTCTTCCAAACCTGTATTTTTCTTGTCTAGAACTTTTATTCCAATTTGCTTTCAAGTGTGTAACTTTAAAAAATATTGTATGGCCAATGTGCATTTAGAAATGCCACATGTTTTAATCAATGTCTTTCCTCACCATTGTTTATTATATCCCTGCTCTTTCCCCAGGGTTCACTTTTCTTCTTATTAAGGTGTGTCTCGTAATGGTTCTTTTGGCAAGGTTCTCTTTTTAATGCACTTAGTCTTCATATCGCTTATAAAAGTTCTTAGTATGTTGTCACTCTTGAATGCTGGTTCGTAGTTATTTTCCCTCTGCACTTTAATGACATTGCTCCATTTTCTTCTGGCAGTTGTCCTCATGAGAAGTCTGAGTCAGTCTGGTTGTCATTCTCTGTTGTAGTTTTTCAGAATCTTCTTTTGTAATGTTCTGCATTTTTACTCTTTGTGTAGGAATCATGACTTTCTGGAAAATTCTTAGCCATTATCTTCTAGTATAGCATTCTTTAATATTTCCTTTCTTTCCTAATTCAGCACTCCTATTAAATGTATATTTGAGTTTCTGAGTTGGTTCTTTATTTCTAAACTTATTTAAAAAATATTTTCTTTATTCTCTGTGCTATTTTTTTAAACCTTTACTTTATTTTTATGTGGTGCTGAGGATCAAGTGCCTCACGCATGCTAGGCAAGTGCTCTGGGTCTGAGTCACAACCCCAGCCCCTCTCTGTGCTATTTTTTAGGTGATGTTCTCAGTTGTATTTTCAAGTGAAGTAATATAGAATTAGATGGGCTAGTTTACTTATTTATATTCCCTTCATTGAGTTAAAAATGTATAAAATACATTATTTTATATATTATATATTTTACCATAATATTTTAATAATAATTATAAACAATTATTTATAATAATTAATAATTATTTATAATAATTTTATACATATACACTTATTTTATACATAATAAATTTTACATGTACAAATGTATAATATATAATTATATATAAAGATGTATGATATATATTATTTTTATACATCATATATTTTATTACTATATATTGTGTATTTTTTTAAATACTGTTTTTTATTAGTATAAGTAATAATTTGGCTTTTACAAGTCATTACTGTTTCAATTACATTTTGCACAGACAGAATAAAAAATTACTATAATGTTTCTTTGACAATGTTGGAAAATGTTTACATATATATTACTTGAAACAATAATACATTCTACTTCAAATAATATATGAACATATCTTCAATTTAATTTGGATATTTGCAAAGTGTTTATTACATGCAACATTTGGAAAGATAAAAATTTTCATAAGATATAGACCTCTAGAATTTACAGATGTGGTAAGAGAAAAGACTAAAAAAGAATTTATATATTACCTTATATTTTATTTTAGTGAAATTAATATAAAATACAATGTTTTCTCTATTTAAAAAATTTTTTCTAATCGGTTATACATGACAGTAGAATGCATTTTGACACATCATACATAAGTGGAGTGTAACTTCTCATTCTTCTGGTTGTACTTGATTTAGGATCACACCGGTCATATATGCACATAGGGTATTAATGTTCGATTCATTCTACTATTCTTTCCACTACCAGACACCCTCCCCTTTCTTCTCTCCCCTCTGCCTAATCTAAAGGACCTCTATTCTTTCCAACCCCCCCATTTCCCATATTTGTGAATTAGCATCTGCATATCAGAGAAAACAATTTGGCCTTTGGTTTTTGCAGATTAGCTGACTTTGCTTAGCATGATATTCTCCAACTCCATCTATTTACCTGTAAATGCCATAATTTCATTCTTCTTTAAGGTTGAGTAATATTCCATTGTGTATATATACCACAGTTTCTTTATCCATTCATCTACTGCAGGGCATTCATAGTTTAGCTATTGTGAATTGAGCTGCTATAACCATTGAGGTGGCTGTGTCACTGTAGTATGCTGATTTTAAGTCCTTTGGGTATAAACTGAGGAGTGGGATAGCTGGATCAAATGTGGTTCCATTCTAAGTTTTCTGAGGAATCTCTATACTGCTTTCCAGAGTGGTTACACCAATTTGCAGTCCCACTAACAATGTATAAGTGAACATTTTCCCCCACATCTTCGCCAACATTTATTGTTGCTTGTATTCTTGATAATTGCCATTCTAACTGGAGTGAGAGGAAATCTCAGTGTAGTTTTGATTTGCATTTCTCTAATTGATAGAGATGTTGAACATTTTTTCATATATTTGTTGATTAACTGTATTTCTTCTTCTGAAAAGTATCTGTTCAGTTCTTTAGCCCATTTATTGATTGGTTTTTTTTTGGGGGGGGGTGGTGTTGAGTCTTTTATATACCTATCTGAAGTGCAGGTGGTAAAGATTTTCTCCCATTCTTTAGGCTCTCTCCTCATATTATTGATTGTTTCCTTTGCTGAGAAGAAGCTTTTTAATTTGAATCTATCGCATTTATTGATTCTTGATTTTACTTCTTGTGCTTTAGGAGTCTTGTTAAGGAAGTCAATTCCTTAGCTGACATGGTGAAGATTTGGGCCTACTTTTTCTTTTATTAGGCACAGGGTCTCTGTTTTAGTGACTAATTGGTTTTCTTTTTATTATTGGTCTGCTCTTTCCAGTTTCTCTAATATTTCTGTGAATTTTAAATATGCTTGTTGAAAATTCTTATTTGTCATCAGTTGCTTCATTATTTCTTTGGGTATAAATGACCTCTTTTGTTGGGTCTGCCAACAGAGGTGCTATCTTGGCTCTGGAGGACTTTAAATGCTTGACAGTTTTGCTTTGAGAATTCCTATATGTGCCTTGCTGTTAGGTGGTTGTCATAACATTCAGGATGCACAGTTACAAACCCTAGGCAAATATTTGTATTAATATTTAAAGCCCTTGCTCCGGGCCACCTGGACCATGCTAGACACCATATCCTTGTCTGGTGTGGGTTTAGTTGTTGGTTTCTGAGAAGGTTTCTGGAGTCTGTGGGCTAAAACACAGAATAAAACTTGTGTTTCTGACCCTTGATCAGGAGATTGTAGCAGGAATTGTTCTTTGCCAGTGGCGTGGGAAGGAAGCAAAAGCACTTGTATTCAGTTAGAAAATTTAGTCAACTCCACCTTCAACACAGCCAGAATGCATCCACTTCTTATCATTTCTGCTGCTACCACCATGGTCCCAGCTGGTCTCTCTTTCTCGTTTTATTGGAACAGTCTCCTAATGGCTCTCTCACTTCTGCCATTCCTCCTATTCAGTTTATTTTCAACAATAGCCAAAGAAATCCTGTGAAAATTAGGTGGCTTCATCTACTTTCCCAAACCCTCCATGGCTTCCCTTTCTTACTCAAGCTAACCAGTCAGTGTTCTTATCTGGACCTTCAACCTCCTACCAGGTCTCTGACTTCTCTCCTACTTCTGGCCCCTAAGTCATCTCCCTCCAGCCACACTGAGACAGGTACACTCTCACCTCCAGGACTTTGCACTCATTTCTTTCTTTTGAAATGAGTTTTGAATCTGATATATCTACCTTGTTTCTCACTTCTTGCAAGTATTTATTCAAATATAGCCTTGGTGAGAACTTCCCAGGTCATACAGTTTATGATTTCACACTCCATTTCTCCAGCATTGCATGGCATTAGTTGTCCTGGGACACACCACAGAGTTCAATTATTTATCCTACTGCCTGAGTATCCCCATCAGGATGTTAATTCAGCAAGGACAGGGATTGTGTGTGTGTGTGTGAGAGAGAGACAGAGAGAGAGAGAGTGTGTGTTTTGCTATTCCTGTACCTAGAATGGTGCACATTTGGTAAACAACTCAGTACATTTTTGTGGAATGAATACATTTTATCTATATTATGCAGAATTGATAACTGAGACTTTGCAAGATGACACAGCTTGTCCAATGTCAGTCACTTTGTAAACACAAAAGCTGGGATTCAAATCCAACTTATACTGACAAAAAGTATAAGTTCTTAACCTTGATATATACAGTTATTCTAGAGAAAAACAGATACTTTTCTTTGTCTTATGTTTATACTTGCCTCTAAAGTTATTGCTCCGAGGCCAGAGTACATTAAGCATTAATAAATATTGCATTATTTTTTTTAGCTCATCATCTTTAGCTTTTCTGAAAAATGACAATGAAACAAAGCCCAGAACAGACCTAGCCCCTGATTGCCAGGATCATAAAAGGGCGGGACAGGTACAGTGCCTTCAAACAAACAAAGCCTAGAATCTCCCTCTGACTTCTGTTTCTCAAAGATGGTTCTGGGACTCTCTTTCCTAATTATAACATATGGGTGTGGCACAAGTACTCAGGACCCAAACCTGGACTGTGCTAAACCTATCACAGTCTACTATTTCACAGAAATAAGATCTGGAAATGTTTTCTATTTTCCAGTTGCAATAAACACTTCTGATTGAGAGTTCAGTAAATCCTTTTGATTATTTGTGGGTCTACTCATTTTGCTAATTGTCACTAATATATTCTTTTGTAAAGTGTGTTTCTTGACACACCCAGCCTTTGGAGAGCTTGTGAAGGGAATGTGAAGGCAAAAAAGTAAAATGCAAAAAATTAATTTGTCCTAAAATTTGGGATTGTAGGAAATGTGCTATGTATGTTTACAACGAGCAAAACGGAATTTCCCGTTGTACTACAGTGAGGAGAGGAGAAGGGGAGCAATAGAAGAAGAGCAACTCATACAGCAACATCAAATAATGAAAGATCAGGAGGCTTTCTTCAAACACCAGGTAGTCCAACACCTCAGTGAAAGAACTGTTTTAAGTGGGATAGTGGAACATGATTATCAAACTCCATTTAAAATATTCCATCATTTTCTCCTGTTCTGTAACATATCTGATATGTTATATACTTATATACTGCTGGACTAAAACTTAGGCAGTGTTCAAGATTTCAACTATAACAAATAAGACTGGGATGGATATCCATGTAGTGGAATACTTGCATGTATCATTAGTTTTTTGCCCCCAAAAGGACTGAATTTTAAAGGTGGAATTGCTAGGTTTTATTGCTTTATCTTTGATTTATGATAAAATATAAATCTAGTCAAAACTTTTACCTTTCAAATTCATGGTCTATTTTAAGCGAGCAAGGACAGAATGGCACCATTATATTTGCTCTATCCAGATTTCTGTGATCACTATAATTGATCCGATTGCCCTCTCCTGATTTGTGATGAATTCTTTCATTCCTTCTTAGGAGCCATGTAGTGATGGTGCCTAAAGTCCAAGAATAGGAAATAAAAAACCTCCCAAACCCACTTTTCTAAATCTCTGAAGACATCAGAAAATACCATTGCCTCCAAATAGGTTTCTTTCATGGTTGGATTAAATGAATATCATAATGTTAAAATTTTTAAAGGCTCTATTCCAATTTGCGATTAAAATGTAAAAAAAAATGTTTTATGATAGATTAAAAGTCTGGCTGCTAGAGAACAGAATCAGAAAAATGCTGCCTATAATCTTGGAGTTGCTGAAGCTATAAGAAGTCACAAGAATGAGAAACCTGAATTTTATGTAAGAGTCCTTTTGAAATTTCTGTTGCTAACAGCAGCTACCCCAACTGTCTTCAGATCCACTCCCTGTATTGCAGGTTGTGCCTTTTAAAATAGTTTTTGGTGCTGGGGATTGAACTCAGAGCCTCCCCACATGCTGGGCAAGTATTCTACCACTGAGCCACACCTTCAGGCCTGTTGTAACTTTTTTTTTTTTTTTTTTTTTAAGTGACAGAGTTGAAAAGTGGGCTCCATAGGCTTGAAACTTTCTTCTAGGATGGGTGCTTCCCAGTGTCTGTCTCCACATCATCCAGAGTCATAGTAGAGTAACTACTAGTAACTGCAGTTCTTGTTAATTATAACCATTCTCAATCAGGTCCTAGGACAGGTGGTGGGGGGAGTACACTGAAGTCCAGCCCTGGAAGCTAAAGAGAAAACCAGCATCATGACAGGATTGCTAGAAATGCAAAATCTAGGGCCCTATACCAGACTTCCAGAATGGGGATCTACATTAGAATATCTGTATGTACATTAAAGTTTGAGAAGCCAGCTTCAGATGGAAGAAGCTACCTGCTTCACTGTTGATTTGCTTTTAATCATGTTGTGCCTACTTTCATCTCTGCCTGATTCTTTCTCTTTTTATATCACTATCTAGGTAGTCTGACAGTCTGCACACAAATCTAATCAGATATATTTTCTTTATCCAAGATTTATGGAACTCCTATAGGCCAGCCACTGTGCTGGCAGCTAGGAATACAAGTTCCCTTTTCTAAAGAGGTCTCAGTCTAGTCGGGGAGACAGGGACTAAAAGAGAAAAGAGTGTGATATAATAACTGCTGTAATAACATCTTTGAAAATGGCCTTCTATGAGTAACAGGCGAGTCACTTAGTGTAGCCCAGAGATCTGGGAAGACTCCTTGCATATAAGAGTTAGGTAAAGAAGTAAGTGGAGGAAGAACATTTCAGGCAGGGGCAGCAAAGAGGGAGGGAGAGAGCATGGGGCTTTTGACATTTAGCTATGATCTCTCTTGCTTCCTATATATAAATTCCAGATTACATTTATTACTGCCTACTTTGTAGCTCCTCTTTGGTATATCTTTAGATATCTTAAAAAGAACAGAACAGAACTATTGATCCCCTCCTCAACCTGTTCTTTGCTTCCCCAGTTGGTAAGTGGCATCTCTAGCCAGCCAGATGCACAGGAGTGATCTCAGGTTCCCCTTTCTTTGTCTCCCACATCCGACCATCTTCAAGTCCAGCTGCTTTTACCTTTTAAATGTACTCAGTACCTGTTCAGATCTGTTCATCTTCCAGAAGAGCATTGGTTTGCATATCTATGGTTTGCATATGTTTTAGTGTATCCCCAAGAGATCAGGATTGGAAGCGTGGTCCCCAGCATGGCAATGTTGAGAATTGGTAGGCCTGGTGGGAATTGGTCACTGGGACACTGTCCTTGAAAGGAATTAAGGTAGTACCCATGGGACCTAGAGTTAATTCTCATATGAACACGTTGTTATAAAAGAGTTAGGCTGACTTCTAAGTTTCTCTCTGGCTCCTGTCTTGTCATATGATTCCTCCCTCTTCCTGCCTGTGCTCCTACTGTGAGGTGAAATAGCCAGGTAGGACATGCCAGAGCCAGAACCATGCCATTTGGACTTCCCACCTTCAAAACTGTGAGCTAAACAAATTTCTTTAAACAACCCACAAAACACAAATCTCTTTATCTTTTATGTTGCCACCCCAGTCAAAGACACATCATAAGGTTCAGCTTCTTCAGTTGGTCTCTCCTCGGACTCATGTCTTGCATCTTCTTCTCCTAACATCTGTTCTCCACACAGGAGCCAAAATGATCTTTTACAATTCTTAACCCAAACATACCACTCTCCTGTTTAATTCCTCTAGGAATTTAATTCCTCTATGGAATCCTACTGAATTGAACTGAAAGCTGAACTTGCTTTGCTCTATCAGACCCTGCCAGATGTCCCTACCTTCCTCCAACTCTACTTGCCTACTTCTACTTCTTCCTCCCTGTGCCTCAGCCACATAGCCCTCCCTTCTGCTCATTGAACATGCCTCACTTGTTTCCATCTGATGTCTTCACACTTGCTGTTCCTTCTTTATGGGACACAGATCCCACTGGTATTTACAGTGGAAGCGATTCAGTCTTCTACAAGGAAAAGCCTTCTTTAGTAAACAACCGATCTAATCCTATTCCTACCTAGTCACTTGCTAGGATAAAGGCTACATTTGAAAAACTGTTTACTTGTTAATGTTTACTTGTCTCTGGCACCTGAATGCAGGCTGGATGAACCTGAGGATCTCTGAACTCTGTCATTGTTGGAAAGTCTAGAATGGCTGGGCCCATAGTAGATACTTGGTGCTCTCTTTACACCACCTCTGTCTGCTTGCTCATGCTTTTAAAGGTGTTCAGAATTCTTTCTTCCTTCTAAGAAACTAGCTCAGGACAACTCCATGGTACTCTTTTTTATCTCTGTCTCAGAAATGGGGTTCTGAGCTCAATTAGCTCAGCTTGATTATCGAATGTGCTCATGTTGTTATGTAGGTTTCTTACATGTTAGCTGGCATATTAGAAAGTAAGAAATACTTTCTCATTAATTTTTATTCTTCTGAATCATTAACTTTATTTTTCTGTGTTCTAGTATGAATAAATTGCTTTTCTTTCATTCTAGAAATCCTTCCTGTTTGATAAACGGCCACTTAGTCCTGAGATTAATGCTATTAAGCAAGAGGAATATTCCCAAAGTCTCTTGAGACAAATGGCTAACAGACGGGAAAAGGAAATAAAGCAAAGACAAAACAGAGAGTTGATGGACCACCTAGAACAAGTACAGCTCACAGAGGAGTGAGTCTAGCCAGACGTCCTCTGTGAAATGGATTCAGAATTTCTGTGTGAATTTTTATGTAAGATTGAACCAGCATTGATAGTTTTATTAGCACCACTATAATCAATTGAGCAACAAGCTAATCCAGTTAGCAGTCAATACCCTCATTAGAATTAGATGGTATTCTAATTACAATAATGAAAGATCCATCATTATGATTATAATAATGATTGCCAATCTATAATTATTATAGAGTATCATTTTATATGTTTTTTGCTCACCAGTACTAGGGTGTCCCATGGAAACTGAGTGAAGAAATGTATGGGAACCCAGGAGGGAATGGAACCAGAGACTGAAAAGGCCTGTACAGTGGCCTTCTCTCTGCTTACACACAGATACTTAGTTGACATACTCTTTTTTTTTTTTTTTTCCAGCTCAGACTTGGAGAATGTTAGTTTCAATTTCAAATTTCAGGAAAGAGATCTGATTGGTCTTGATTAAATTACCTGAGGCCTTGGATAGGGATAGGTATATGGAGTTCATATGTGCCTAAACAGGGGAGGGAGGCCCATATTTCTGTTACTAAAGTCAGGAGAGCAATTGACTGAAAAGTATATTCTATAAATGTTCTATAATGTTCCATTGTACTCACTTAATAGATCATATGTGTTTCCTGAAGTTATAATTTACAATAGGGATTACTTTCCTTAAAAAGGACTTTTACAATAAATCAGTTGATAGGTGAATAGTCCCTTACTGCTTTCATATCTAGATTTTTTGAAGAATTGGCAGGGTAGTATAGAAGGGGGGGCTGCTGTTTCAATAGTATTTGGACAATATGGTTCTATCCCCTGCTTATACCTATCCTATCTGTCCTGTGTTTACATGATGCCCACTCGCCTATGGATTTGAACTACTTTTTCTTTTTCTTTCTTTCTTTTTTTTTTTTTTTTTTTTGCAGTTATAGATAGACAGATGCCTTTATTTGTTCAGTTTTTTATATGGTGCTAAGGATTGAACCCAGCACCTCACACATGCTAGGCAAGCACTCTGTCACTGAGCTATGGCCCCAGCCCTACTTTTTCTTTCTTAAGATGAAATATCCCATAATGAAACAATAATTTTTATTTATGATGTCTCAGTATTAATACTTGACTGAAAATGTTTCAACGATGCGAATCTGTGTTGTTAAAGACTCTAAAACTTCTCCCACCTTCTCCTGTTCTTAAATATCAGACTTGCTGCACAAAGAGCCAAATATTTAAAAGATAAAATGGAAGAAACACTGTGTTACAAGACAGCTTTGGATGCTCAGGTAAGGGCCAAGTATTATTATTATTATTTTAAAATTATACAGTTTTTCAAAAGCATAAAATATATAAATACTCTAATATTATGGACACTCTTGGTGTTACACATTTGGTGGGTGTGAACCTTCCTGTAAGGTATTGGTATTTTACCATATTACAGAGTTGTGCATAAAGTTTATTCCATGATAGCATTAAAATCTGCATATGTTTGTTCCCATTTCAGATGAAGAACAGACCCTCTCAGTTACCTGTGTTTGAACCGGACTCCTCTGAGCCCATCTTTGGTAAGAAAAAGACTGACTGGCTGGTGGAAAAGCGAAAGCGGGAACAGGATTACATGAAGCACCAGCTGGAAACAGCTGCTAACCAGAAGAGGGAAGCCATTCTGCACCAACTGGTGGATCAGAAGCGGGACTTGGAGATGCTTCAGAGGACAAGAAAGGAGTAAGGAGATCTTGAATCTTTTCTTCTCCTCCCTGGCTTCTTATTTTTCCTCCTCTTCCTCTCTCCTCTCTCAAACAACAGCAGAAAAGTAAGAATAATAGATAACACATTGAGGAGTTAATTGTGAAAGACACTTTTCTAAGTTAACCACATTCTTTATCTCATTTTATCTTTACAATCCATCCTATGAAGAAAACACAATTAAATAAATAACTTTAAAAGCCCTCTCTTGATTTCATTTCTCCCTTCAGTTCCCTCCTCATATTTTTCCTTCCTGTTACAGTTTAACTTCTTAAAAGGGTTGTCCCTTCCAGCAGTATCCATTGGAAGTAGGATGTGAGCCTCAAGTGTGGTGTTGTGCTCAAGTAAATCCAGACATGACACTTGGAAGGGGGTCTTGCTCAACTTCCACTAACCTTCCTCCATATGTGAAGGTGTGTGGAAGGTGTCAGGGTAGGCTGAGGAGGACTTATACTGTATCAGTGCACATACTTTTCAGTTCAAACATCAGACATCCCATTTCTTAAAATGCCCAATTGGTCACTGCACCAATGGGGAATTTTTAAAGGTCCTATTTGGCTCTCAGTCTTACAACATCTCCATGGTTCTTCCCTAGTCTTTCCATCATCCATAATCTCCTGCTTCTTATTCACCCAGATTGCTACAGGGAACTCTAGTTTTCTTTTTTGCAGATGTTCAGTAAGTCTTAGATTCTTATTCTTGTTCAGTTAAAAATGTCAAGGTACAAGGAGTTCCAAAAAGGCTATGTCCAAAGGAATTCAATCTCAGAAGTCAGTTGTATTTATAAAAAAAATTATTTATTAAATTTTTGTAAACTTTATAAGTGGTCATAGAGATAGCGCATGTATCTGTTGTGATCTATACCATGTAGGCCCAGATTTACAAACATGAGTAGATGGAGGTTATGGTGATAAGGGTGGGATCTGATTGTTGATAGAGAGGGGTGGAAGTGGTGAAACACATAATTTCTGGAGTGAAGTCCACCATAGGATAGATATTGCATATTCTCAGCAGTGTATGTCTGTATATTTGCTAAAATATTATATATTTTTATATTTATTTGATGGTGATTACCCCAAGCCCACAAGTATACCTATTCTGTCTATACTTCCCTAAACCCTCTGGTATCCCCAAACCATATTCCCATGTTCTTTCACCTAAATGATGCATACTGGGAACTCCAGACCATTTCCAATATCTGTTCTGAATGGTTGGTGTGGTTCTACCATTTTATGAGTTGTGTGATATTAGACAGGTTACTTATCTCTGAAGATGTTGATTTCCTTATCAATTAGGAATAATACAAGTATCTTTAGGTGGTTGAAGGCTAAATTAAATAATCCTTGTAAATAACATAGTATCTGATTCAGCCTAAGTGCTCCCTCAAGGGTAGTTATTACTATTACAAGAAAAAGAAAAGAAGAAAGAGCTTTTCTTTTTCTGGATTATAAATTGACATAATTATTCTCTATTACATCAGCTTAAATCAATGGAAATCGCCTTATTTGGGGTCTTCCCTAGATCTGGCTCCCCACTGATACTTAGTTACTCATTCTACTTATTTTAGAACATAAACTCTGAGTGATTCTGAATATTTTAAAAGCTTTTCATGAGATAATGAATAAAAGTGGTTGTGGAAAATGTCACAGTAGGCTTTCAGTCCCTGTAGGGTAGTAATGTAATGGTGTGGCTGTAGGAGTTGACAGCAGGACAGAGTGCAGTGGGGTGAAGAGATGGCACTCTGCTTTCTATTATATAAATAACTGGAAATGCCCATGGGGTGAGATTATGCCCATGATTTTGGCTCTACCTCCTGTGTCACAATTTGAAGAGTCTATAAAATTTACTCTATTTTTCCCCCTGAGCATGCTATTTTATTTTCAACAGATTTCATGGTTTTGAAATCACAAATTATACTGCTTGCAGATTAAAGGATTATAATATAATAATCATAAAAAGCTCTCTAGGCATTTTGGTTGTGGGGAGGAGTGATGGTTGCAGCCTAAGAAGATTTGTGAAACATGCCTGAGGGAAAGCACGGCTTTCCTGATGATTTTTTTCCTTTTTTTAAAAACAACTTTATTGATGTACAATAAACTGTATGTGCTTAAAGTGTACAACTTGATAAGTTTTGATATAGTATGCACCCACCCATGAAAGGATCACTACAGTCAAGATAATGTACATATTCATCATCCCAGAAAGTTTCTTTGTGTCCTTTATAATTCCTCCCTCATCCCTCCCGCAAACCCTATCTTCAAGCAACCACTAATCTGCCTTCTGTCACTATGGGTTAGTTTGCATTTCCTAGGTTTTCATACAAATGGAACCATGAAGTATACTTATTTTTTTTCTTTCAATGTGAGTCATTATTTTGAAATTCACCCACGCTTTTGCATATAACAATATCTCAGTTCTTTTTATTGCTGGGGAGTATTCCATTGCACATACATAACATATTTTGTTTATTCATTTGTCTGTTGATGGACATTGGGTTATTTATAGTTTTTGGTGATTGTGAATAAAACTACTCTAAACATTTGACTGTAAGTCTTTGTATGGACATATAGTTCCTTCTATCTTGGGTAAATGCCTAGGCATGGCATAACATGGCTGATATATCACAGATACATATTTAACTTTTAAAGAAATTCAAAGTGCTTTTCAATTTGGTTGTACTATTTTCTAATCTCATCCACTAGTGTATGACAGTTCCTCTCCATCCTTGCCAACACTTGGTATGATCAATCTTCTTAATTTCAGCCGTTCTAATAGGTGTATAGTGGTATCTCATGCTTTAATTTGCATTTCTCTAATGGATGTACTAAAAATAATATAATTTAACTTTTGCACTTTTGGTGAACATATTCACTTTGTTTCCTAGTATTTTGTTGTTATAACAATTCTGCATTAAATATTCCCTTTTACTCTAGTTTTCCCCTGGGCATGCTATTTTATTTTCAACAGATTTTATGGTTTTGAAATCATAAGTTACATCGCTTACAGATTAAAGGATTATAATATAGTAATCATAAAAGGCTCTGCAGGCATTTTGATGGTGGGGAGGAGAAATGGTTGCAGCCTAAGAAGATTAGTGAAAACACAAACATGCCTGAGGGAAGGCATAGTTTTCCTGATGATTTTTTCTTATTTTTTTAAAAAAACTTTATTGAGATATAATTAAAAATTTTTAATTGACACATAAATTGTACATATTTATGGGATATAGTTCAGTATTTCAAATCATGTATATAATGTGTAATGATCAAATCAGGATAATTAGTGTTTCTGTCTCCTCAAACATTTATCATTTGTATTAGTTGGAAGACTTAAAGTTATTTTGAAACATACCATAAATTGTTGTATACTATAGTAACTCTGCTGTGATGTAGAACTATTTTTCCTTTTTATATATTTGTACATTTTTATAACTTCTCTTTGTCACCCCTTCCTCCCTACCCTTCTTAGACTCTAATGACCCTCTACTCCAGTCTCTTCTATGTGATGTCCTCTAATTCCATCCTGTGGCAACAGCCACAAATGACAGGATTTCATTAATTTTTGATGTCAGATATTCCACTTTATGTACATATCATATTTTGCTTTTTCCTCTGTGACATTTGCATTTACTTCTTGGGGGCTGTTGTGAATAGTGCGGCTCTCAATATGGGTATGCAAATATCTCTTTAAGATTCTGCTTTCAGTTCTTTTGAATACAAATCTGAAAGGGGGAAATTCTGACAAATGTTACAGTGTACATAAATTTTGAGAACATTATGCTAAGTAAAATAAGCTGTCACAAAAGGACAAATATGTATTATTCCATTTATAGAGGGTATTTAGAAAAGTTGATTCTTAGAAACAGAGTGTAGAATGGTAGTCGCTAGGGACTAGAGGAATGACAAATGAATTGAATGGTATAGAGTTTCAGTTTTGCAGGATGAAAAGAATTCTGCAGATTGGTTGCACAACAGTCTGGATATATTTATCACCTCTCCATCCTTGCCAACACTTAGAACTGGTTAAGATGGTGATTTTTTTAAAAACCATAATTAAAAAGAACTATGAAAAGAAAAAGAAGGTTCCATTCATTCAGTGAACTCCCACTATTAATGGGCATTAGCACTTTATATTTTTGTCATTTGATCTTTTGCCACATAATAGCTGTGCAGTTAATGCTGGTTAGATAAAAAGGTGGCTGTGCTGTTCTAGGAAAAAGTGAACCAGGGGACAGTGCTGATTTTCAGTGGAGGATTCTGACACCTAGTGGCTGTAGCCACCACAGCACAAGTCTCTTCAGAGTAGGCGGTCAGCAGTCACATTCAGTGATGCTTCTTCTAGACTTCAGTGAAAACTGGCAGTAAAAGTTTCCTTTTAGCAAGAAATAGACACACATAAATAGTTTGAGCCAGGCTCACAACAGTAGCGTCAGTGTATTTGGAGACCAGTGGTGGAAACGCAACTCTGGGATTAGTGAGACTTTAAGAGAGATTGCAGGGCAGTCACTGCTTTAATTTAACCATGGTTCACCAAACATTTCTTTTCCTTCCCCTGACTTCTTCACAGCATAGCATTAGATATTTTCTAGATTTCCTTTTGTCTTGCTGTAGTCACTTGTGTTCCTTTATCCCTTTCTAGACCTTGATTTGTATGCCTTTGCTTGCAGAATGCCTGTAGCAACCAGTAGGCTGATTACTGACAGCTGAGAAGTTGGAATAAAAGCAAAGAAACAGAGTATAAGAAATCTATTTGGAATGATTCTTCAGATGAGTTAAATTAACTTCAAAGGAAATTAATGACTTTAAAGGCCAAAGTTGTTAATTGGAAAAAGGTTTCAACCCTGCTAATTTAAATTACTATTGAAGATGAAAGGTCCTAGACTCATAATATTTAACAGCCAGAAGTTTCACTATGCTTTTACAGTGTCCATGCCTTTTAGTATATAGTTCAAAGAACAGTGAACAAAACCAGAAAGTTTTCTGTTTAATTTTACATGAAAGGAATGGGGTGCCCAAGGTTAATGCATGTTCTTTCAAATATTAAGAATGGAGTCAGAATGCTCTTTTCTCTCCAGGTACTTGGCAGACAGAACTGCAGAGCTGGAGAGAGTGAACAAAATGAACCAATGCTTGCAGGAGGATTGGGAAAATAGCATTGCAATAAAGAAAGAGAAGGACCTGGAAGAAAAGTCTTTCGAACGGTAACATCTGATTGGAACCAGAAGTTCTTTTTGAAGAAATTTCCCCTGTTCCTTATTTACTTTCCTCTAGTCCTAAGATGGCAGGTTTCAAGCACCAATTCTAGTTGATCAGTGGTGGTTGACTAGAAGCTTTAATGGAGAAAACAAGTCTGTGTTCAGTGGGAAATGCTGCTATGATTGATTAGAAATGTCTGCCATGAACAAGGGACTAAAGATTGCTGTGTTGTATGTCATGTGTTCACCAATTCTGCCCCAATCTGTGCCTCTGACTAGGATGTCTTCATTTTCAATTTGTGGAAGGTGGTAGAAATTCTTTTTGGAAAAAACTAATTGAAAGCCAGGACAGTGAGTGTCTGATCTGAACATGTCCAATGCTTATGGAATAGTCATTTAGGAGCAGAGTCAAGGGATTGTGAGTAAGATTGATACTTGGAAAGATGAGATGCCCATTATAGAGCTAATCCCCTCTCCAGTGGTGTATTTATAATTTAAGTTAGGGAATATGGATTCTTGTCCTGGCTTTGATAATTATCACTTACTTTGAAGAGGCAGCTAATCTTTTTGTCTTATTTTTTCTTATGTGTAAAATGGGAAAGTAAATATTTGCCTGACCAAACTAACAGAGAAGTTTTAGAGACTGATTAAGGAGATGGGAAATGGTTACTCTTAGAAATTAAAATCCTTCAAAAATGTAAGGCAGGATTTAATAGAACGAGGAATTTGATGAAACAGACCAAGTCTGCACAATCAACATATTAAAGTCAACCCCAGATATATCAAAATAATACTTTCAATTGCCAACTCATTTTTATCATGGGTAAATTTTGTTACAATGATCTTGATTTGTAACTCCTTTTCTTTTAGACTTTCTTGTAAGTCATTTGTCACCTACTTTTCTTTTAATTTTTTTCTTCTTTTTTAGTTGTAGATGGACACAATACCTTTTTATTTTGTTTATTTATTTTTATGTGGTACTGAGGATCGAACCCAGTGTTTCACATGTGCGAGGCGAGTGCTCTACCACTGAGCCACAACCCCAGCCCTCTCACCTGTTTTCCTAATGTGTGAAACATATTGTAAGACTATGAAAGTATGAGGGATGATGTGGAAAATAGGTCCCAAAGAAGAAATGGAGTTGCTTGGCCTAGAGAAGAGGAAGGAAAGGGGAATTGGAGAGCTCAAGCCATTTTTTCAGTGTTGTAGAAAGGCAGGTAAAAGGCAGTGAGACTAATGGTGGGGAAATTTTATTTGGATTTAGTAAAATGCTTGGTCAACACAGTGATAAAGGATATACAGGAACTAATCTTGAGTGTAGGCTGGCCAACCTGCTCTGGGACATGGTGGAGCAGACTTGTTTTCTGAGGACCTAGGCTAGGCCAAGTTGTGGGTAGATACTGAAGCAGGCATCAGATAGGAAGAACGAAGTGGTTGATGTAAAATTCAAAAGTACAATGAACTGAAATCCATTCTTCTGTCATGTGTAACTAATTAGAATAACAACAACAAAAAAGAAATCATAGCAAATACTACAGTGTTGACAGGACAAAAAAAAAAAAAATCAAAGGCAAAAACACGATTCACATGCATGCAGTTAGCACATGCAATCTGTCCTGTTACAAGGCAAGCAAGGTAGGTCTTCCTTACCCACTTTCAAGGCTGTTTACACTTTCTCCTTTTAGGACTGCCTCTGATGCTCTGGGTTGTCCAGAATTCTACCCTTGTAGACACTGTTGATGGGGTAGGGGAACAACTAGGGACTGGCTTGCATAACTGGGAATTGTCAAGGTAGATCAGTCACTGCTGCCCCTTCCTCTCTGATGCCATCCAATTTTGTCCCTCTACTTATCTTCACTTTCTGTCCTGCCCGTAACTCTCCAGAAGCTCTGGCCTCTTGAGATATTTCATTGTAAGTGCTCCACAGGTGCTGTTAACCAGCAGCTTAATGGCCTGATCTCTCTCTCAAATGCTGTCTCCTGTCTCCAGGAGCCCAGGAAAGAGAGGTGCATCCAAGTGACAAAACAGCAAACAAAGAGGCTTTGAAGCCATTCTTTGCTGACTGTGTGACTTTGGGCACTGTGTTCTCAGTGGGTTTGGGTGGGTGTGACTGGAAAAGAAGGTCAGGCAGACTGTTGCTGTGAAGGTACCAAGTCAGGGGCTTAGATTTACTGAAGAGGAGACAGTGGCAATTTGCAAGCAGGGAGAGCCTGGACAGGGTTTGAGTTGCAGGCAGTAATGTGATGGGGGTCTCCAGAGTCTTGCATAACAACTGCTAACTGCTGCTTTCACTCTCCTCTCCTGTTCCTCAGGGCTTCCAACAAGCTGTTCCTTTTGGACCAGTGCAAGAAGTATCAGCGTTGCAAACAGTGCCAGAGGTGCATGTCCAATACAGGCAAGAGCAACTTGTGGTACATGAACAAGTTCCTGCAAGGCTCCCGGTTGCTTGTATAAAACTCAGTTTGACTTTTGTTTCCTGGGGAACATTTAAATCTTTTACATGTTTGGAGTGATTTTGAAACTGCATATTTTTACCTCAGAGGAAAAAAAATTACTGTTTAGGTTCTATGCTTTCATTAGATTATTTAGCCTCTCATTGAATTCAGGTTGGCTGGTTCTTCCCTCCTGCCTTCCCACCACTACTTATTCCTGTAATTTCCCTTCTATGGCAATGAAACTGATTTGCTCTGAGGACTGGAACCCATCGCCATAGGCCCTGGGAACGGAACCCAACTTTGCTCTGGCTGCTGAGGGACTGCTGACACAACCCTGCCATAAATTTCATTTTTTTCATCCATAATGAATCAATGTCATAATAAATATTTTCTAAGTGCTTGACTGTGCATTATAATTCATAATTTTACCCCCAACCCTTTATTTTTCTAGAGGACTGTGTGTGTAGACATCACAGGTAGGTTAGGCTGTTGGCCTTAAAAGCTCAGAACAATGTGACTGAAGTTTTCTAATTGATGACAAACTGGGACTCTGTCAGGTCCCCAAGGAATATAATTCCCTTGGTGACCTCCAAATCAAACATTCTGTTGTCCAGCCATTTCTACACCATACAATTATTATGGCAATAAATGTATGTGTACCATGAGGAGAGTGCCTGGCCTGGCAGGTGTCATCTTCTCTCACTGCTTCACTTGTATCCATTCTTAACTCTTTATGAGCTACTGAAGAGGACTTACCTCCCTGGTAAAGTATGTTCAAAGAATTTATTCATTTATCTTTACCATTTTACCTCTTCTCCCTCTGCCCAGTGATTAGAGTGACATCTGAATTTCTGAAATGCAAATGCCAGGAAGAAAGTCTCCTATACTACTTGCTTTCTGCCTGCCACATCTGTCCCTTAGAAAATGAGGAGACATTTGTGAATGTTTATAAACTTTCTTTTGCTTTTTTACAATGCAAAATAGGAATATATTGAATTCTGAATAGTTAAAGAGAAAATACTGATGCAAGCTGAACTTGTCCGTGCATATTGCTAATGTTACCTTTTTGGATGGAATCAAACATGCCTGCTGATGACTGGAATTCTTTTCCCCAACTTTCCTACAGTGCCATCTCCTTGAATTTTTTCTGATGATCACTCCATGGAGGTCTAAGCATCATCAAGCTATATTTAAAACAATAGCCTTTTACCAAGATTGCTCCATCTGCTGAACCCAAACCTGTGTACCTGTGAAACAAGTCTCTAGTATATAATAAATTATTATAATAGTGATGTTGTTTTAATATTAACTAAAATATAGACTGCTTAGTTAAGGAAAAATACAATTTTGATATGTCACAGTGAACTGACTGAACATCTATGACATTTTTACTGGAGGAACTGAACTTATAATTTGCTATAATTTGAGTAGCAGTACTATTACTATATGTCAAGTACTAAGGTAATTTTTGGTGACTTGGAGATTAAGACCTTATCAACCACTTTGGAAAGCAGTATGGAGATTCCCCAGAAAACTTGGAATGGAGCCACAATTTGACCCAGTTATCCCACTCCTCGGTATATACCCAAAGGACTTAAAATCAGCATACTATAGTATGCCTTAGCCACATCAAGGTTTATAGCAGCTCAATTCACAATAGCTAAGCAATGGAACCAACCTAGGTGCTCTTCAAAAAATGGATAGAAATATGTGGTATATATACATGATAGAATATTACTGAGCCATAAAGAAAAATAAAATATGGCATTTGCCAATACATGGATGGACATGGAGACTATCATGCTAAATGAAATAAGCCAATTCCCAAAAACCAAAGGCTGAATATTCTCTTTGATATGTGGATGCTAACACAAAATAGATGGGGGAGGGAAGAATAGAAGTTCATTGGATTAGACAAAGGGGAATGAAGGGAAAGGAGGGGGGATAACTTTCCTATGACAAGACCAGTGTAACTCCAGGTACAACCACAAGAATGGGAAGTTGTGCTCCCTATAAAATGTATTAAAATACACCCTACTGTCATGTATATGTAAAAACAAAAAAATTGTGTAGAAACAAAACCCAGTTCATCAGTCCTTTCCTGCTTTCAGAGCTCTGTCTAGTGCAGAGGTGAGATGTGATAGAAGCTTTATATAACAAGGTAAAAACTTAGTAGCACTCTGCATTGATTGTTATGGACCAGCAAGGTGGAGTCCTTCTTGTTCCATAAAGCAAGCTAGGGCTATCTCAATTTTATTGATCTTTCAAAGAGTCAACTTTTGCTTCCATTTTTCTGATTCCCACACTTTCCTTTCTTCTGCTTGCTTTGGGTTAATTTGTTTATTTTTTTTCTTTTTTGTATTTTATTTAGAAACAGGGTCTCACTGGATTGTTTAGCCCCTCGCTTTTGCTGAGGCTGGCTATGAACTTGCAATTCCTCTGCCTCAGCCTCCCATGCTGCTGGGATTACAGGTGTGTGCCACCGCATCCAGCTTTTTCCTGGCTTCTTTAGGAGGGAACTCAGATTATTGATTTGAAATTTTTCCTAATATAAAGATTTAATGCTATAAATTTTCTTCCCTCTAAGCACTGCTTTAGCAGCAGCCTACAAATTTTGATGTAATTCATTTTCATTTTTTTTTCAATTCAAAATATTTTCTAATTTTTGACTTTGGACTTCCTCTTTAATTCATAGCTTATTTAGAAGAACATTGCTGATTTCTAAATTTTTGGAGAACTTTTAAGATACTCTATTATTGATTTCTAATTAATTTTATTGTTTTTAAATATTGAATGTGTGATTTTTAAAAATGTGTGATTTTAATTCTTTTAAATTTGTTAAGGTTTGTTTAACCTAGGATACAGTACATCTTGCTGAACATTCCACGTGTACTTGAGAAGAATATGTATTGAGTGATGTGTTCTATAAATGTTAAGTCAGGTTGATTGATAGTGTTATATAGATCTTCTATATCATTGCTAAATTTCTAATTATTCTCTTAATTTCTGAGAGAGGAGTGCTTGAATCTTCAAGTATGATTGTGGATTTGTTTATTTCTCCTTTCAGTGCTATCAGTTTTGATTCACATATTTTGACACTGTTGCTTGGTGCTCACCATTTAAGATTGGTATGTTTTCTTGGTGAATTGACTCTGTTTTTATGTAATGTTCTCCTTTATCCATGCCAGTATTCCTTATTCTGAAATCTACTTTGCCTGGTGTTAATACATAGCCACTCCAGCTGTATTATGATAAAGCTTTAATGGTATATTCCATTTTTTTTTGGTACTGGGGAACAAACCAAGGGCCTCACATATGCTAGGCAAGTGCTATACCACTGAGCTACATCCCCAATCTTTTTATTTTATTTTGAGATAGGGTCTTGAATTTATGATCTTCCTATCTCAGCTTCCTGAATAGCTGAAATTATAGGTGTGTGCCAGTATGGTTGGCTGATTCTTTTATTCTATTTATGGCATTATATTTTAAATGGATTTCTTATAGATAGCATACAAATCCAATTAAAAATCCAATATGACAATCTTATTTTTATTAAATTGTCATTTGTAATTATTGATAAATTTGGATTTTGGACACTGAATTCTTTTGTTTGTCCCCTTTGTGTATTTTTTAGTATGCTATTTTAATTTATCTTTTGGATTCTTGTGGGATAAATCTCTTGATTTTGTTTTTTAGTGGTTGTTTTAGGAATGAACCCTAATTTTTCACTGATTAAATTTGTTTATTTCTTCAAGTAACATTTAGCAGCTTTATAATCACATAAATTACTTGACCATTTTATCCTTTCTTTGGGTTAAACACGACTTAATACAACTACATACACTGAAGACCCCGAAAGGCAATGTTATAATTTTTGCTTTAAAACTCATGTAGTTAAAAAAACAAAAGGTGGGGACTGGAGTTGTGGCTCAGTGGTAGAGCGCTTGCCTGGCATATGTGACACCCTGGGTTTGATCCTCAGCACCACATATAAATAAATAAAACAAAAATGATCCATTGACAACTAAAAAAAATTTAAAAAAGGAAAAAGGTAATCTATTATTTTTGCTTAGATACTATTTCTTTTGCTCTTCCTTCACTCCTGAAGGTCCAGTTATTTTTCTGGTATGATTTCCTTTTCATCCTGAAGAACTTCCTTCAGCATTTCTTTTGAGTAGATTTGGTGGCTACAGAATCTGTTAGTTTTCATTCATCTGAGAATGTCTTCATTTTGACTTTATTACTGAAGGAGATTTTTACTGGATATATATGAGTCCTAGGTGGTCAGTTTTTATTTCCCTGTACTTTAAAATTGTTAGCCTACAGTTCTGGTTCCATGATTTCTGATTAAAAAAAAAAAGAATCCAGTTATTTAAATCATTGTTCTTTATTGGTAATGTAATATTTTTCTGGCTGCTTTCATGTTTTTCTCCTTTTCTTGGTTTTCAGCAGTTTATGATGTATTTTTTTTTTTGGTGTGGCTTTTTAATTTTTAATTTTTAAAAATATTTATTTTTTAGTTTTAAGTGAACACAATATCTTTATTTTACATTTATGTGGTGCTTAGGATGGAATCCAGTGCCTCAAGCACTGGTAAGCCACAACCCTAGCCCCTGGTGTGGCTTTTTAAAAGTTTATTATGTTAGAGCACACTGAGTTTTTTTTAATTAATTTGTCTTTCACTAAATTTTGGAATTAGTCCAGTATCTTTCTTCCCTCATTTAGGGACGTTGATGAATTACAAAACTTTTTAATATAGTCCAAAAGGTCTCTGAGGTTTTACTCATTATTTTCACCCCCTTTTCTCTCTTTTTCAAATATGAATTTCTATTAATAAGTGTTCAGACTTATTGATTTTTTTAAAAAAAAACTTATTTTGGAGATGGTGTTTTGCTATGCTATTCACCATGACCTTGAACTACTGGGCTCAAGTGATTTCCTGCTGCAGCCTCCTTATGACCCATCATACCCAGCTTTAAATTTTTGATTAATATGTATTAATTGTACATACTAATAGAT